GACCGAACAGTGTTTGGTCCTTTCAAAAAGTTTTTTAATGATGGTGCTAATTCCTGGATGTTGTCTAATCCTGGTCAGACACTTTCTATATATGACTTGCCTGCTATTTGTTCTTCTGCTTGGGACAGAGCTGCCAATCCAGTTAATATTAAAAGTGGTTTCAAGTGTACAGGTATTTGGCCTTTTGACAGGAATATATTCGGAGAAGAAGAGTTCTTATCTTCTTACGTGACAGATAGACCAATGCCTACTACAGAACCGGAACTCGGAAAAAGAGATTTTGATAGCTTGTCCAAACCGGGGCCAAGCAAAGTTTTAGTTTCTCCGAGTCACTCAACTTCTCCAAACATCATTTCTCCAGAAATGGTTAGACCGTTTCCCAAGGCGCCAGAACGTAAAACATCAAATAGAGGCAGGCCTAAGGGCAAATGTATCATTGCCACGGATACTCCAGAAAAAGACGAAATTGCCAACAGGAAACTAAAACGATCTGTTACAAGGAAAGTAAATCCTAAAAAAAGACAGAAAGTCACTAAAAAAATTGTTGAAACATCTTCTTCTTCTTCCTCTGAAGACATAATGAGCAATGAAGAATCCTCTGACTTCATAGAGCAAGATGACGAAGTGGATACAGAAGAAACAAATATTGCAAATGGTCAGTTTATAATTGCCAGAGTTTATGGAAAAACACCAGCTACATTTCGGCACTATGTTGCAGAAATTCAGGAAAAACAGATAAAAGGATACGACGTAAAATTTTATAAAAAACATGCCACTTCTAATCGGTTTATCTCCACTGAAGAAGATGCTTTTGTTATATTTGAAGACATAAAATGTATTTTACCGAAGCCCTTGAAAGATACACGTCAAAGATATGAAAATATGATCTATTTTAATACAGATTTAGAAGATTATTCATTGCATTAATTTTTTAATATCTAAACATGTCTATTTTTTTAAATACATTTTTATAAGTAACATATGTTGTACTGTCCGAAGTCTCCCAGTACTGTCCGAAGTCTCCCAGTTCCTAGTCCGAAGTCTCCCCGTTTCTGGGGAGACTTCGGACAAATGACCCCCTGCAATATTTTTTTATTTTTGTTGTTAATTTATTGATTTGATATATTCTGCTCTTGATTGGTTATGCCTGAACCTTGGAAGCTTAAGTTAACTACTTTAAAAGGTAAATATATCAATACACTTTTCTAATAAAAATTAATTTTTAAAAATGGTCCGAACTCTCCCCGGTCTCCCCTACCTGTTAACCTCCATCACTCCGACACTGGCAACCTTATTTAGGGATTAGTAACCCTCACAAGTATTGTATTCTATTCTGCTCCAACCTTTATACCTGGTGGTCATACTCAATTTAAAATTGTTTTCCTATATACTTCTGTAAACTTGTTGACAAATATCTGTTTTTCATTGAGTCACCCGTATCAACAGTTTAGGGATTTGCATACATAATTTATTGTTTTATTACTCTCTCATACATAAAAATACACTATAGTAATTATTCACCCCTCAACTACTCCTTATGAGAAGTAAATAGTTTTTTTTTTACAATTTTTTCAATTTTACTGTACTCTTCTTTAACTGAAATTATAGATTGCTTGCCAGGTTTTTACTTAATTTTATCTACTCTCATAATTTTTAAACCCCTAAGCCACAGTTAATGGAAAACTATCAACAAGTTACGCGTTCACGCTAGCTAAATGCAAAATATTTTTGGAGATACACAAGTGCTCTGCTAGATTTTGACTATATTTTTACCAACCCAGTCATTTCTTTCTCAACTACCCTAACTCTGTGTTACTCTGTGCTAACGAATATTTATTTTTTAAATGTTTAAAGATTGAAAATATGAAAATACTGTATTCTAAAAATTATAAATTTTGACTGTTTTAAAAAATTGACTTTGATTCGAGTCGTGAGTACATGGATAAGTAAAATCGAATCTCGTAAGTCCCTTTTATGAATATAAAATATCTGAAATCAAGTTGAATTTCTCGTGGTCTTTTGGCTTCATATGGCCGCCAATTCCCGATTTCTTTATTCCATCGACCATCATTTCCATTTTAGTTAAGATGCCTGTTTGACAGCATCTTTTATTTTTGTTCTATTACGAATTTCTTAATTGGTTTTATGGTTTTTGAGTGATATATCCATCATATGTCGTTCCATAGCTCTCTGAGTTTTTCTAATGTTCTGCATGTTTATTTTAGTGAATGTCCAGATTTGAGCTCCATATGTTAGCACAGGTAGGATACAAGAATTATACACTTTGGTTCGTAGTCTTTAAGGTTCATTTTTATTTTTAATGAGACGTATGAGAGTCTTCTGAATGCTGCCCATCCCATTTTTACACGTCTGCTTATTTCGGTAGTCTGATTTTCTTTGCTAACCTTGGCATTTTGATCCAGATATGTATATTCATCTACGTGTTCTATCTCTGTCCCTTCGATATTTATCATAGGTTTGTCATCTTTGTTTGGCATTAGTTTAGTTTTGCTGAAATTTATTTTCAGTCTTTTTTCTAGGGACTCTGTGTGTATCTCCTCAATCATCGTATTCAGTGCATTCCACGTATCGGCTATAAGTACTACATTATCTGCGTATCTTAGATGTCCAAGTATCTTCCTTTAATAGGAATTCCCTTATTTTCCCATACTATCGACTTAAAGATATCTTCTAGGGCAGCTGTAAATAATTTTGGAGATATTGTGTCTCCTTGTCTTACTCCTCGGTTGATTTTTACTGATCTTGTTTCGATTCCATTACCCAGTGTCACTATCATGTCAGATGGTTCGTAAATATTATGTATTAGTATTCTGTACCTGCAGTCGAGCCGGTTATTGACTAATGCTTCTTCTATTGTCCACAGTTCTACGCTATCAAAAGCTTTATCATAATCTATAAAAGCCAAACATAATGAGAGATTGTATTCGTGTCTTTTCTATTAATATTTTTAGGGTATATAGATGGTCACAGGTGTCGTACCCTTTTCCAAATCCGGCTTATTCTACTGGTTGATATCTGTCAATTTTAATTGTTTTACCTGTATTTAATAATCTTTGTAAAGGTTTTGTAAAGTTGTGAAAGAAGTGAAATTGGTCGATAATTTTTCAGGTCTGTGGTGTCTCCCTTTTTGTGTATTAGTATTGTTTTAACAGTATTCCATTGTTTGGGTATGTTGCCTTGTAATAGACATTTATTAAATAATATTTTTAGATATGTGATGGCATTTTCTCCGCCTTTCTTCGGCATTTCTGCTAGAATTCCATCGCTTCCAGGAGCTTTGTTCCTTTTTATTTTTTTTTTCTGCTCTTTCTATTTCGTCGTTGCTTATTTCGGGCATCACTTCTGAGTTAACATTTGTTATCTGCCTTTTCAAGTTCTGCTTTGAGGAGTTAGGGTGATCGCTTCTGGAACGGTACAGATCGGCGTAGAACTTTTCAATTGAGTTTGCCTTATCAGATTTACTTTTTCCTAGTTGTCCTTGTTCATTTTTAATAATTATTATGTTTTTCTTTCCTAGTTTCGGTTTGGTGCATTTGAGACTTCGGTTTTTCTCTATGATTTGTTCTATACGGTTTTTCTAAATTTATTTCTATTTTATTATGTTTTATCTCTAATCTGGCTCTAACCATTTGGTGATCGCTACTTACTGACGCCGTATTGATTACTGTTACGTTCTATATGATATCTGCTTTGTTACACAGTATGTAATCTATTTCGTTCCAAGTTTTTCCGTCCACTTTTTTTGAGGTTTTTTCTTATAGGATGTGTTCATTGCATAGTATTTTTGTGAGCTTGTAGGAAGTTAACCAAGGTTTCTCATCTCTCGTTTCTAACTCCAGAGCCAAATTGTCTTATAAAGTTTTCGGCTTTTTCAAAGTCGTTGTCCAATCTTAGCATTGAGGTCTCCTATTATCATCGTATGCGTGCTGTGATAATGCGTGCTAGTTTATGCAATTTGCTCATAAAATTCGTCTATCTCTTCATCGGGATGTGCTGCGGTTGGAGCGTTATACTTGAATAATTTTCAGGGAGATGTTCTCGTTTACATTTAATCTAATCATTGCAATTCTTTCAGATATTCCTACGAATTGCTCCAATTTATGTGCATATTTTTTGGAAATTAGAAATCCTACGCCATCTAGGCTTTGTTCTTCTCGCCCTTTGTAATATAAGACCTTACCGGACTCTAGTGTTATGTACTCTTCGCTTTTCTTTTTACCTCTGTTAGACCTATTATGTCCTATTTTATGTCCTTGATGTCTTCTTTGAGTTCGTAGAGTTTTTCATCTTTGCTTAGGGACCTTATATTGACCACTATGGTATATCAAAAATATTTTTTTTGAACTCTGCTAGCTTTAACCGTAAGTCAACAGAATCGCTCCTCTTAAGGGTGGTTTGGTGGTAAAAAATTATTATGCTGGTAATAAAGTAGTGATAAAGGGATTAAAAAATATGCCATCGACAAAGAGTTTTTTTTTCTAAATTCTGCTAGCTTGAATCTTATCCAGCAGAATCGCTCCCATTATTGTGGTTTAGTGGTGACAAATTATGGTAATAAATTAGTGAAAAGTGGGAGGAAAAATATTACAATCGTTAAATTGGATTCCGCTCATTTGTCCCAGCTAGCTTAAGGGTCCATAATCTTCCACTTCTATCAAATTTTTCCTTCTAACCTTGTTACACATATATTATTACTAAAAAATAGCAGTATAAAATTTAAAATGGCTTGGAATTGGAATTCACGAGTGGATTGAATCGGCCGATGAACGAGTAGTGATTTCTACTGGAATGCAATAAGACGGCAAAAAACTAAAATATATAGAGATGTACCAATTTGGTAATTACGGTAACTTTTGTAATATTTTCATACACACAACATTTCTTATAATATTATATTTTTTTAGTTAATGTATGTATACATGTTGCTGTAAGTATAACTCATTTACGCAGAAAAAACCATTGTAACCAAAAATTCTTACCTGTTTCACAGAGAGTCTATCAACGCCATCTATAGGATTACATATTGATTCCTCAGTATCCACAAATCTTATTGAAATTTGATCAACTGTGTCTGTAACAGATGGTTGAAGGCTATATAAATATAGTTAGCAGATATTAATATAAACAGAATTATTTCAGTTGGGATATTATTTCGCGGTAAATATTATCTAATTAAATCAACAATCCATCAAGTGAGTTATTATATTGACTCAAATATTGACACATTATCTTTGAACTAAGACGCATTTATTGTATTCACACTTCGAAATATAATTGTTTTTCTCATTTATTTTTTTTAATTGTAGATATGCAATGGTGTAGAAAATATTGTTGAAATGTTGTATGGATGATAAAATAATCATTATAAAATTGTCAATTTTATTCGACATCTTAAAGGCAGCTTATTACTATTCAGGAGCTTTTGATTAATATACTTTTACATGTAATAACAATGAAGGAGCATAAACCACATACTACAAACCACACTTAAATCCACAAAAATAAAAAACTTTACTAATTGATAAGATACAGATTTAATAAAATGTTCGAGCACTTTCTGCCATTTAAAGATACCTTCGAAGTTCTCATCGAAGAATTTGATGATCTCTGACTGATCTTCATCTTGATCATAAGCTTCTCCATCTTTAAGGAGTATTATTGCTGCTTCCACTTCTTCTAAAAGTATATCCAGGACTGTTATGCAAATATATGCAGCTTAACTCGTTCGCTACCAAGAGCCACTCACAATTCAATTACCCTGGTTTATATAATTTTTTTCTTGTAATTACGATTTTGCATACTTTCTAATATTAGAATTTTATTTCAGATTTTCTGAAATATGTCACGACGTAAAGGGTTTACTCAAAAACAGCTTCAAGAAGAAGCTGGTAAAATAATGGCTAAAGATAACGATGAAGATTTGGCATGTACTTCTGAGGAAATACCGGAAGCTTACTCAAATTCAGGAAGTAGTTATGCACCTTCATTACCAAATAGCTCAAGCGCTGAAGACCTTAAATTGCCTGATGGAAGTGTAAATAATGAAGACACTTCTGGAGAGGATTTTGAAGAGGAAGTCGAGAGAAATCCTGATGGTGGTCCAAATGAAAATGACAACGAGTGGGTAGATATTGACAGTGAACCCACATTGTTTAAATTTACAAAGCAAGCTGGTATACTAATTAATATCCTAACCACAAGTACTGTAGAAGAAATATTTGCATGAATATTTGACCAACCATTGAAGGGACAAATATGCGAGTGAATAAACTTACGCGCCGAAATATTCAGCCGAAATAATTTTAAGGTATTTGACAATGAAACATTGGACACCAGTCGATACTAATGAGCTGTGTACACTTTTTGGTTTATGCATACTAATAGGTAACATTAGTATGCCCAGCATTACAAATTAGTTGAGTACAAATGTTTTATACTTAAATCTACTTTTTGGAAATACAATGTCTAGAAATCGCTTCAAATCTATCGTTAGATGTCTGTGTATTTACAAAGAGGCTGATGACAAAACTTCACGTTTACATAAAATTTCACATCTGTTGAATCACCATCATCATCAATGGCTACAGCCCTATGAAAGAGCCTCGACCTTCCCAAGTCTATTACACCAGGCAGTCCTATCCATTGCCAACCGTTGCCAGTTTGCTGCGCCTATCTTTCTACCATCCTCATCTACACCATCCTTCCATCTGAGTTTTGGCCTTCCCCTTTTTCTACTTCCCACGGGTTGTGACATATGGATTCTTCTAGGAGGGTTGTTCTGCTGTGATCTTGCTAGATGTTCTGCCCATCTTAGTCTTCCTATTCTTATAAGAGATACTACGTCTTTACCACCAAATATTTGTTTATATCTGTAGTATACCTCGTAGTTATATCTCCTTCTCCAAACACCATTTTCACAGATGCCACCAAATATTCCTCTCAGGATCCTTTGTTCAAATATAAGCAGAAGGTCTTCGTCTGCCTTGGAGATGGTCCATGTTTCCGATCCATATGTCAACACTGGCTGTATAAGGGTTTTGTATATGGTTATTTTTGTTTTTTGGCTTAAGTTTCTACTTCTCATACTCTCTCTCTACTACTCAGTCCAAAATAGCATCTGTTTGCAATTATTATCCTTCGCTTGATTTCTTCCGTTATGGCGTTCTCTCTGGTGATCAGGGAGCCTAAGTATGTGAATTTGTCCATCACTTCAAAGGTAGAGTTATCAACCGTGAATTGGGGACCGATGTTCCTGACTCTATTGTTAAGAGTTGATGCCATCATCCTAGTTTTCTCCTCATTTATTTGCAGGACCATAGATTTTGACGCATTTGAGAAGGTGGTGTACATTTCTTCTACCTTGCGTGTTGTGCGGGCAACTAGGTCCACATCATCTGCATATGCCAAAATTTGGGATGATTTATTAAAAATATTTCCTCTGTTGTCTATTCGGGCATCTCTGATCGCCTTTTCCAGTGCTATGTTGAAAAGAAGACACGGCAGCGCGTCTCCCTGTCGCAGCCCAACATGCGTTCCAAACGCCTGTGATTGTTCGCCCTGTATTTCGACTTTGCAAACCACATTACGCATAGTAGCCTTAACCAATCTTATCAGTTTATCGGGGATGTGGAATTCATTCATGGCTTCATACAATTTATTTTTATTTCTTAGGACACTATCATAGGCAGATTTGAAGTCTACAAAAAGATGGTATGTATCGATATTGAATTCATTGGTTTTTTCCAGTAGTTGCCTTAGCACAAAGATCTGATCTGTTGTTGATCGACCAGGCCTAAAGCCTTTTTGATATTCTCCGAGAAGTTCCTCTGAATATGCACTTAGGCGACCATATAAGATCCTCTAAAATATTTTGTATGCTGTATTAAGGAGGGTTATTCCCTTTTTTTTCTACATTCCAATTGGTCACCCTTTTTGTGTAGCGGGCAAACGCTTCCAATACACCACTCCTCCGGGATTTGTTGCTCATTCCAGGCTCTTAGTATTATTTTATATATTTGATTAGTCACAGTAGCACCTCCACATTTAATAAGTTCCGCAGGTATACCATCACTTCCTGGAGATTTATTGTTTTTAGGCGTTTTATTGCATATAGTACTTCTTGAACTGACGGAGGCTCTAATGGTGAATTGTTGCTTGCTCCTGCGGGTGGTTGATTTGGATCTGGATGTTCTACTTCTGTTGAATCACGTCACCCAAAATATACAGAGTATTTTTTATCCCGATACTAATCACTCACTGGATGAAGCATTATTACTTTCGCGTGGGAGACTTCTATTTCGTCAGTATATTCCAAATAAAAGTGCCAAATACGGAATTAAATTATACGTACTCTGCACTCCAGATGGATTTGTGCTAGAAATTCTAATTTATTCGGGCAAAGGGACAGTTTCTTAAAAGATTAGTCACGCTCAATCGATAGTAACGAAGCTAGCAGAACATTATCTAGGCAAAGGACATACGTTGTTCCTTGATAACTATTACAACAGTAAAAGTCTGGCTGAATAAACAAAAAACACACATTGTTGAAACGTTACGGAAAGATCGTAAAGGAAATCCTAAATCAGTTATAACTACTAAATTAAGAAAAGGACAAAGTGTTTCAAAAAAAAAATGTACTTATGATAAAGTGGAAAGATAAGCGTGATGTGTTACTAATATCGACAAAACATAACGCTGCTTTTGGTAAAATGACTAATAAGAAAGGTGTTGAACTAGAAAAACCAAATGGCATACTAGACTATAACAAAAATATGTGTGGCATAGATCGAAGTGACCAAATGGTGTCGTACTACACAACGCTCCGGAAAACAGTCCGTTGGTACCTGAAAGTGTTTTTTCACTTATTGGATATTTGCATTTGGAATAGCATGTACCTATATAATAAAGTGCAAAGAAAAAATGACTTATTTGAAGTTAAGAGAGTTTCAAAGAAGGTGAAGAAGAGAAAAAGATGTCGTGTTCGCTCTTCAAAGAAGAGAACTCAAACGTACTTTGTTTGTGCAGACTGTAAGGACAAATATGGAGAAACTGTTGGACTTTGTGTAGACCCTTGTTTTCGTGAATACCACAAATCGAAGATCTAATTTCTTTTTAACATTATGTATGCTCGTTTTGTAACAACAGAAGTTAAAAATAAAAAAAAAATCAGTCGAAATTATTATTCTTGGAGTGGCTCAAGTGAGACAGACACATGGTCTATCAAAGACAAATTCATATAATACACCAGTGTCTCATATATGAGTCTAGTTCAAAAATCGTTTCAAATATCTTTTTTCTGCATCTGATATTTACTACATTGATTCACAGCACAATTAAAATAATTTTATTTCAAAATAGTATAACAAAAATTGTGGTCCCTCAATGTCCAAAATTTTAAGATCTTGGTAGCGAAGTTTTTTCTATCTTATTATTTTGAATTTCTATTGTGATATTGTCTGAGATGTTTTTGCTTTCTAGTATATATTGTAGCAGTATATCTCTAGTTTATCCTACTGCTATATATTAAGTATTTTATTGCCCAGTGTTCCACATTGTCAAAAGCTTTCGCAACGTCTACAAAAGCTGCATATATTAGGATATTATATTCATTTGCTTTTTTGATTAGGATTCTCACAGTTAATAAGTGGTTACTGGTGCTAAATCCTTTTCTGAAGCCTGTCTGTTCTGGTGCCTGGAAAGAATTTTTGTTAGAAGTCGAATTAGGTAGTGTTATTAGACGAACATGTTTTAAGTTTCTTTTGTCGCCTTTTTGGTATAATAACAGCGTTACTTTTGGTGTATTATAATACATTTTGTAAAGTTTTTGCCCATATTATAACCGTTTTTACAGTTTTTTAAGAATTGATCATCAATATCGGTGTAATTTTTGAACATAGGTTCAAGAAAGTATTTGACATATTTCTGACTGAAATGAAGAAGGAAGCAGATTATCTATGATTAGCAAACAGTAGAAACATTTAATTAAGGACCAAAATCGACTTCTATACTTTAAATTTTGCCAAACGCTAAAATTTACAACTCTTCTATTAATCCGTATAGTCAATTGAAAAGTTACATTAGTATTGGCTTTTTGAAAATGACGCAATTTTACTCTTTTTTGTGAGTTGGGGAGGTAAAAATAAGCTTAAGTTTAAGTTTGTTTGATCGCCACCCTGTTTCTCCGGTCGCCAACAAAAGGAGGGCAAAGGGTTCTCTGTAATTGTAGAGTAGAGAGGGTGAGTTGAGTTCCACAGCACTTAGACCACAATTGACTCATTGTGCATCCTCCCAGGGAGCTGTCGTTCTTAGCTCATTGTTCCTCATGTCATTTCTAGGAAGGTGGACAAGACACTAGGGGACATCTCTCTTATGTGATCAGGTGAGGGTCACGAACGCGTATTCTCGTATTAATGATAGGGTAAGGAAAGGTATATTGGTGATACAAGTAATTTGGTGATAATTTTTAATCAGGTTACCACACAGAACCCTATGCAAGCACATTCATGACACAGCGCTAGTAAGTTGCTATGAGTGTAAGCAGGATAATCATCTATTCCGATTTGCGATGCGCGCACCTGCGTTTAGTAAACAGACTGTTTTGACCATTGTGCGATAGTGGAGTCATTTCTTATTGAATTTGAAGGACTGTTACATATTTGGTTACATTTTTGTTGGAATAATTGCTGTTTTCTTATAAACTTTATAAAACCATTCAATAAACTAATTATCAATAAAAAAAGCTGCATTGAATTCTTTATTTAGCCAAGGTAAGTTTTTATTTCTTAAATTGCAGTTGTTGTTTCTTAGTGTTTTTGCACACATTTTTCAAGAACTTTTGAGACGTTAACTTTGGATATATTTTGTTCTTTTATTTAAAATAAAATAGAGAAGTGTAGTATACTATGCAAAAGGTATTGTTTTGAGGAATCCGTAAATGTATTTTATTTTTAAAAGCTGTTAACTTTTTTTTATCACCAAATTACCTATACAAGATTCCGATATCACCAAATAACCTATTTAATTTTTACTTTTAAATTGGCAATGGAAAAAGGTGGTAAACATAGAAAATATAATCAACAGCAACTTCAAAACGCTGTCAGATTAGTAAGAAATGAAGGTAAGACTATGTCTAAAGCTGCAAAGGAAGTAGAAGTCCCATGGAGCACTTTGAAACGTTACCTAGTGAACGAAGAGGATTCGGTAAGAAAACTGGGGAGGCCTTTTGCATTGTCATGTGATTTAGAGTTGAGGCTTTACAATTATATTATAGGAATGCAAGAATTGGGTTTTGGACTAACCGTGTATCAAATTAGAAAATATGCTTATGATCTTGCTAAAGTGGATGGTCGGGAGAAATTCCTGCCGTCAACTAACTGCATTGCAAGCAAATGGTAGTAGAATAATTTTAAAAGTAAGTACAACTTGTGCCTTCGTGTGCCAGAAAATCTTTCGGCCTACAGAGCTTCCATTGCTAATGAATTTATGATCAAAGATTTCTTTTCGAAACTGAATGATGTTCTTACTTAACTCAATATAAAAAACAAACCGAATTTAATTTGGAATTGCGATAAGACTGGATTATCTTATGTAGTAAAACCTTTCAAAGTGGTTACCAGCATTGGTAAAAAGTATGTTTTAAAAGATCCTACGCTGAACGAGGTCAAACTCAAACTATGTTGGCATGCATTTGTAGTGATGGAACATGGATTCCTCCTATAGTAATCTTTAAAGGTATTAGATGGAATGATACACTTAAAAATGATGCCCTTCCCAACGCATTAATAAAATTATCTCTTAAAGGATGGATCAATTCTGAATTGTTTTTGGAATGGTTAAATTTTTTTATCACTACGATATCGCCTGAACGTCCTGTAGTCTTGTTAATGGACTCTCGTTCTACCCACATTGGAGCTGAAGTTTTGAAAATAGCGAAAGATAATCAAGTTTACCTATTTACTTTCCCAGCTCATTGCACTCATCTGTTGCAATCACTTGACGTGGGACTATTCAAGCCACTTAAGACTTACTGGCGCGACAGCATGAATCGTTAAATGAGCAATAACCCTACGGATGCTCCAAATAAGCGCCTTTACAAAGAAAAACATTGAGAATGCTTTTAAAAAAACCATGTCCTTTAAACGGAGATGTTATTCCAAAAGAAGCATTACGACCTTCATCTTTAACTGACATAGCTCCTGCTTCTCCAGTTTCAACTGACGCAGCACCTAAAACTTACATTTTAAATCCTAAAGCCACAGTCGATCATATTTTGAAAGCACCAACAGCTTCAAAACGTCCAGAGAAGTCAAGAAAAAGGGAAAAAGTGCGAAATGCTTAACACCAACAAATGAAAACACTTCAGTAACAGAAAATCTTTAGCAACAGCCTCGACTTCATACAAATCTGTCCAAAAAGCAAAAAAGAGTAAAATAAATGATTGAGAGTGTGGCTTATGTGGAGTCCTGTATGCAACTGATGTTAAGAAAGGAATGGAGCCCAATGGATTTTGTGCTCATTGTGTTTGACACCATACTACGAAAATTGCATATATATCGAAGATACTGACGCCGATAAAAAACTTTCTTATATATGTGATCGTTGTATGGAATAAAATTTTTAAATATCTGATTAAATATACAATTTCCATAATATCAGCAAATTTCCTAACCACTATCACCAATATACCTTACCGTGTCACCAACTTACCTAACATAAGCCTGTATGTCAATTTGACATTTACTATTATTATTAATCATTTTTTGTTAAATTAACTCTTCTAAACATTTACTTCAAATAATAAGTAACGTAATAAAGTAAAACTTATTTCTTGCTCAGTTTTCGAATTCCTATATGATAAATATTTTTCATATTTATCACCAATATACCTTTCCTTACCCTACCTCCGGGCATTCACATAAGACATGCTCTACAGTTTTGTCTTCTCGTTCACACTTCCTGCATAGAAGTGTGACTACTAATGGATACCTTCTTAGGCTCTTACTGGAATCTTCTGGCAATATGGCAATTATAAAAAAGTCCCTAGGAGTCTTAGGCCCGCCACTTTCCTAGCCAATTGGTCAGCAAAGCGGTTGTCTTTATTCCTATTGTGTCCTTTAACCCACCTCAGGATGATGGTATTACCATCCGAAGCTTGAGTTACTGACTCGTGACGCTCGCTTACTAACCATGATTTGACAAGTGGTATATTCAACGTTAGCAGCGCTTGTCTGCTATCTGTGCAGATTATTATAGTTTTGCCGGCTATACGTTTTTGGGTATCTCTTTTGCGGCTATGGAGATACCAGCCAGTTCTGTCTGAACTACGTTGCCATTACCATTTATTAGGTTCAGTGATCTGCAGTATATTCCGCTTCCTGATCCCTGCTCTGATCTACAACATCTACTCTGTATTTTGTGTGGTTGTAGTAGGTAATAGTTTTTGGTTTTTTCATAAAAAAAACATATTTTACAAGAAAATGAAAAACAGTAAATTATTAGTTAATTCTACAATTGGGATAGTAAAATAAAACGTTTAGGGATAGTAAAAAATAATTTCACTTTGCATATTCTAACTTAAACAATTATTATCTTACCAGTGACGTTTTTCCAAGTGAGATTAAGACGTATGTTACGATTGTCATCGAGAAAAGTTGATATCGTGAGATTGGTAAGAATTTCTGACCCTGTAAATAAAAAAAGATTAGATAGCACCTGTCAAAATATACTCTGGAAGTAATCTACGAGAAATAATCTAATTTTTAGTTTTGAGATAGACAGCTAAATAAAAATATTTTTTATTCAAAATATATTGATTATTTTATTGAATACTCAAAAAATAACTATTAGTAAGTGTAGTAAAACTAAATAAGTATTTAGCTGCAAGTCGTATTATTGTTACAACCAATCGTGCAATACAATAAATTTTTCTTGTATGTTTTTTGGCGAATTTTATTCTAAATGTACAGTAATGGTGCGATGAAGTTTCCCCGTTTCAAACATGTGCAATTATGATTTAATTATATCTTGATTTGCTTATACGCAAATTATCTCTTTTAAATGAAAATGTGATTTACTAATATCTTTTTAGGTTATTTAATATTTTTATTTATTTTATCACGTTGAGAGGATAATTTATTAGTTCTATTAAATTTGTCTTTCTACTTTCAGTGGTCAGATTAGTCTTATGAACAGTAATAGCTAATTACTTGAGTCCTTAATTTGTCTTGGCAGCAATATAGATTATTTATTCCATTTATTCCTAGAAACAGATAATAGCAAAATCGTTTATTAGGAACTCTAATAGTAAACTAAATCAATAATCGAGGTTGCTAATAGATCAGTTTGTTACTGTAAAACTCTTGGTAATACGATATTAATGTTTATAATATATTAGCTATTTAAAACAGACTTATGACTCAGTACACAGACACCAACCATATTAACAACTTGAATAAACATTTCTGTGCTCTATTGTTCGAGCTCATCACCCCAATATAAACATATATATTCTTAGGGTATGAAGATACATGGATGTGTGCGGTGGAGGTCGCAAACCTCCACCGCACAAAACCTCCCGCGAACCAAAACAAACCTTAATTTTCTTATGAGATCGCACGTACCAAGGTATATCACCCTTTCGACCTATTATCACGGTTTACAGCGATGTCGATGTCAGAACAAAATAGTTTGTTTTTCATTGCGATCGAGCTGTTGATCGCGTAGTAAATTATAAGTTTATTGTGGTTATTAAACCACGTGACATTCGCCGAAGATACGGATGGTATGATAAACACACTGAAATGTATTCAGACTCATTCTCATACAAGCATAAAATCGTGGTGTTTTTTAAGCAATTATGTGATGGTATTCTAGATACTGCTTTTTTTAATTTATAGGATGAGCCTCAAACTGGCGATTTAAAGAAGTATAAATGATCCACTGCTTTTCACTTAAAGACATTCATTCACTGTAGTCACTACCGTTGCCCATGTACATAATTGTATACTGTAAAAAAGCTAACTTTCTTGGCACCTCAGAAACCGCAAAGAACACTGAAAGGAAGGTATCTTCTTCGTTATGTTCTGGGTATGAATAAGCAAGTAAATACGGCCCTGGGATTGGTGGTAAATCTAGCAAGGGATATTATAATTTGGCATAAATACAATTTGGATACGCCACAGTAAGTAGTTTCTAGATTTATAATGGGCATTTGTTTAAAATCTTGTAATTCAGTTTTGTACGCAGAATTTAGTGGTATGGGGTGGATTTTTTTCAAAAATAATATTTTTTATAAACAATGCAATTTGAAGGAAACACATGTTCAGTGTTTAATAAACTGTCTATTACTAACTTGTTTTTTGTTTAGTTTAACCATTCTGTCATACCTGTTATATATTCTTTTATGATGTTTTTATATCATTTTCAACTGAGAATATTACGGCAGTTGAATGTTTATAAATTTTTCTTGAAATGCCGGGGCTACAGGTACATACTCCTCTAATGATGTCTACTGTTTATTATTTATGTAAACTTTTAAATTTATATACGTCTGGTGTATCAAATTGCTGGTAAAGAGAAAAGTCATTTCTACTTTTAAATCGAAGCATTTTGTTAAAGAGAAATCTACAATATCTTCCATTGCTAAAATCTGTTTTTCTCTGGTTCAAGTACAGTTCATATTTACTAATTGTGTAAGATTAAAAGCTAGTGTTCTATTTAGTATCCAGTCTTTTAAAATTTTGAATAATATTTCAATATAAAGAGAAAATAAACAAAGCATAAAACGTAAAAATTTCTAGTTAGGGTTATGGTAAATAACGTCGTAAATGGTAAATAACGGGTTGTTGAATTATGAGACCATTTATTTAAAACACTACTGTACATTATCTTGCCATCTTGACGTTAAATTACTTCTGAACTCTGAGATAATGATTATTGTCGCTTTTATAGTAGTCCTTGCTATATCAGCAATTGTTCATTACTGGGTCAAGTTTTTTTACTGACCTACGCCAACCGTATGTTACGCCAATTTGGGTTAGAGAAAACTAGCTTAAAAAATTTCATCATGTACATTTAATAAAGAAATTGTCATGGGATAGTCTTAGACCTCCCATGACAGTTAAGTCTTTTACCAACCCCCGCTTATGTTTACTTCCCTAATTAATGAACTCGTTAAGTATATTTTTATTGATCGATATACTTCCTTGTTGCTAATAATCCCATAAGCGCACTCCAATGTAAACAGTATTGTAAAATGTCTAACTATATAAAGATAAATATTAGTATAAGCTGTTTACTGTCTCCATGAGAACATTTTAACAGCAATAAAATATGTCTTAAGCACACTTTTTTGTGAGTTGTTTGTTATATGTAGAATATTTGACGCTGTCGAGAATTATTGTAAACTATAAAATGTTTTTAATTATTTATATTATGATCATAAAATGTATAAAAAAGAATATAAAAGAGAGTATCACACATATTCTAACTTCTAAGACCTTTTTGTGACAATAAGAAAATATTGAGTTAATCGTTTCCTTGTGAATGCTGAAGTATAATTTAAAAACTAAGGTCCGGGTAGTTCAATTTCTTTAACAGGGTTAAGTAAATATCAGGAAATCCATACCTAGGAGCTGGCAGAGGTTAGCGTCAAAAAATAAAATTTATGATATTAGCAATTAAATATAATCCAACAAAAAAAATTTGATTTTTTATTCGATTCTAAATTATACCTATTAATTAAAATTCATAACATTCTTCTTCTTATTAGAGTGCCGTCTCCCTACGGAGGTTGGCAATCATAATGGCTATTTTTATTTTAGAACTTGCTGCTCTAAACAAATCAATCGATCTGCATTAGATTCTTTAACCATGAGTTTTGCCTTCGGCCAACAGATCTTCTTCCTTGAATCTTTCCCTGTATTATGAGTCTCAAAATTTCATATTTTGGTCCACTCATCACGTGGCTTAGGTACTCCAGTTTTCTGGTTTGTATAGTGGTGATTAGTTCTGTTTCTTTACCAACCCTCTCCAGTACTTCTTTATTTGTAATTCTATCAGTTCATGATATTTTTAATAATTTACGGTATAACTAGAGTTCATAACATTTAATTTACCGCTAATTGGTGCACAATATTTTTTGTTAATTTGTTTTTTTTTCCTAATATAAATATATTTGATGTTTTAATAACACGTGAGCATGCAACATATAATTAACCATGTGATTAAACATGGATTCTTTAAATCTAAGTCGCAAACGAATATTGTCATTGAGATTTGGTAGTGGTCATCGCGAATGCTAATCGAATAGGGAACTGAAGCCTTTTGAAGAATTTTGTGGTATATGAGGGTATGTGGTATACTGGGATACGTTTCAACAGAACAATTTTAAACAGTCAAAATGGTGGCTTCAATAATATTTCCGGTGATACTTTTAATGACCAAACGTGTGCCGTTGCATATTCTGGTTGGGTTTAAATTGCGTAGCAGAATAATTGGTAAACTAATTTTCAACAGAAAACTGTGTGGTGGCATCCCTAGTATATTCAGAGAATTTAAAACTCTGTTAACTTACACCCTCATTTTATTTAACAACACTGTCGATTGATTGAAGAGATATCAGATCACCTGCTAACAACTGTTGAATCTGGAAGTTAATTTCGTCAAGATTACCATTTTTTGCCGCCAATATTGCGCGCTGACAGAGCCAATTATGATTCAAGTAATTATTCAGTATAGCCAGGAAGATACTTACAATTAATTCATATTTGGTTCCTACAAAAGTGCAGAAATTATCTGGAAGTTTGATGTATTGTGTATTTGGATACAGTTTTATTTTACTTTTTCCAATAACCAGCAAATAGATTGTTTTAAACATACATTAATCTCATCCGCATATGTAAAGAGAGGAATAATCGGTAATGTCTGTCGGAAGTCAAAGTCATAGCAAGGCAGCACCACCGAATAGTTTGTTGTTGCCGTTTAAATCTTGCATTCTTCTATGTTATGCTTCGAGTGAATATTTATGAGCCATAGTATATTTATTCCAAATAATAACTGCATGACTGCAGTTATTATATGCACCTAATCATTTGCATCACTGCAACTATTTCACTTCTTTTTTTAATGTTACACATTGAATTTGGTTTGCTATACAATTTTCTTAATCACCAGTAATAAGTAATTTTAAAGGTTTTGGTGGAATGATAAGAGGTGGTAACACAACTTTTCCTGATGCCCAACAGATTCCAAAGGCTTTATTGTAGAACGTCAATGACTGTCAATACTGTCATACTGTATCCATTGCACCAATAACAATTTTAAAATGTGCATAATAATTAATTTTTGGGGCATATTCAAATGCAAGACGAATAACTGATATACGTGTAACTGAGCAGTTGATTCGCTGTCTTTTTTGTTCTTGTGTTTTGAATGTAGCTATATGCTGCTCACGTGCAGCTCTCATTCTTAATATATTGTGTCTTACACGTTGGTTACCATGTACATGAGATTCTTGTGCACGGTTCTCTTCTAACCTCGTTCTCCGATCTTTATTTTTTTGAGTGGTTTGTTCGTCTGATTATTGATTCAATAATCAGACCACTTAATGATATCCAAAAGGATGTTGTTAGATCTAAATGTACACATGTCATTACAAACTTTTTACATGAAGAAGTCAAAGATC